CCCTGCTTATCAGCTGACATTTTCTCAAATTCTCTGGAGATGTGCACCTCAGCATCACAACAAAGTCCTAAGTTACATAAAGCAGTGTCCCCAGGAAGCTCTAGGATGAAACCTCTCCCCTGCTCGGCTTCAGGCACAAAGAATCGGAATCCACAAAGCGTGTGTCAGGGACAGGCTTTGTGATTCATCCACCTGCCTTTGCCTCCATCTGACCACCTTGCCTGGATGCCACAACTGCCTCTGCTTAGGGCCCATGCCCTTCCCCTGGGAGCCCTTGCCATACCATTAAGTAACGGAGGAAGCTCAAGCAGATGTATCCTGCAGCTTCTTCTCTACCCCCAAAGAGGAGTCCTTGCTTTATACTGAAGCTAGGATTCTTCCTGTGTATAACCAGAAATGAGCATGAGGGTGGAGGTGGGATGGGCTTTCTCGGACTGCTAACCGCCTCTGGGCCGCGTCATCTCCCAGTGGAACAGGAGCTTCCCTCCCTGCCTTTCTCTGCACTGTTTGCTAGCCTTGTGCAGTTTCATCAGCGCTGGAGACACCTTCACCTCCCGGCTTTCTGAGAAACTGTCCCATCTAGGAGCCCTTCCCAAATCACAACTTTATTTCTCACTGATTTTCTGAGCTCACTCTCCATGCCTGCTAAATTCTCTGATCACATTCTTTGAATGAGAAGGGAAGTTCGTTCAGCCTCCATAAAGGTTCCTGAGCAGACCCGGCCCTCACAAGGGGCAGGTCAATGGTGCACGTGCGTTTACAAGCACTGCTGTGGCTGATGGGCAGGGCAGCACACCCACAGGGACAACAGACGTTCTGGCCAGTGTCCTGCTCACCTGGGCAGCAGAGCAGCTCCACCTGGCCAAGAACTAAGTCTGGCACTGACACATCCAGGGCCACGTCTCCAGGAGGTGCCCAAGGTAATAAACACACATCACTTAGGCCACTTCGCTGGGATAAAGACTGATGCCTGGCTGCTAGGCTGACAAGTTCACCATTAACACCCATGACCTCTGCCCTTGTGTCACATAAATAATACAGAGGACGTGGTTAGTCTCTCCCTAGTGCTTTATTTCCTAGTGATACAGATGATCTGAAGTTACAAAGATATAAACCACAGGATTTCTTTCCGATCCCAAGTACCTGGAGGGAGTTTTCCTTTCAGTTTCCTTGTAGCTACATTGTCACCAGCCTTTGTGGAGGATGCAGGCAATTCCACACACTCCGTTCTCACTGCGAAGGCATGGAATCTGAAACAGGAACACATCTGCAGCATCAGGCTAATTAGTGCTCTTTGTGCAAGCGTATTCCTTCTCCCAAAACTATGACTGTATTTGGTGGTGTCCACCATCTTAGCCAGTTCCCCGCTCTTCCCTGTACCTTGTCTAGTCCCACAAAGACAGACAGGGAGGCAGGAGAGAACAGAGAGTTGAGACTGTGTGGGATTTTAACTGATGACCCTTCTCTTCATTAAAGGGTAATTAGGACAACAAATGGTATTTATTGACCCTGAAAAAATGATACCTATACTTATATTTATCTTTGGCTCCCAGGGTTCAATCATATCAACAGTTTTGACAAGCTGACAGTCTGATGAGGCCCCACAGTGCCCTGTGAGTTCAGCGTTGAAAGCCAGGCAACAGAGACCATTGGCTCATCGGCCGATTGCTGACAGGCTTCAGACAACTTTAACTCGGCAAATACGCTCTTCCCCAGGACCTAAGCTAAGCACTAATGAAAAGAATTCTTCTGTGGGCAAGTTTTCAGGGCCTGAATCCTTGAAGTGCAGTCCCAGCAATGGCAGTGGCATCCCCTGGAAGCAGGTTAAGGATGTACATTCCCAGGCCCCACCTGGACCTGCTAAGTCAGAATATGCACTTTAACAAGAACCCCAGTAAACTCATATGCATCTTAAAGCTCAAGAAGTGCTGGTATAGTGCACCTGGAAGCCAACTGTCTGGAATCCAGAAAGCCAGTAACAGCAGGACATTTCTTTCAGAGTGGCAGAGGAGCGCTCTGAATAATGCTCCTCTAGCCTCTCAAGAGTTCCACCTCTGCCACTCACTCACTCAATGAAGAGAGACTCCTGAAGAATGGGTTGGGATGCACAGAGGGATGGACTGGTGGCCAGAGGTCTGGGGACTTCGCCTGGGCCATGGAAAGCCTCAGTCCTATTTCAAAGGGTTTCAGGCAAGATTAGTACAATGACTTGATATCAACGAGCAAGCCAGGCTAACATCCCCTCATCAGGCAGATGGACTCTTAACCTGGCCGTGCCTGCCTCCTATACAGATGATCTGAAGTTACAAAGATATAAACCACAGGATTTCTTTCCGATCCCAAGTACCTGGAGGGAGTTTTCCTTTCAGTTTCCTTGTAGCTACATTGTCACCAGCCTTTGTGGAGGATGCAGGCAATTCCACACACTCCGTTCTCACTGCGAAGGCATGGAATCTGAAACAGGAACACATCTGCAGCATCAGGCTAATTAGTGCTCTTTGTGCAAGCGTATTCCTTCTCCCAAAACTATGACTGTATTTGGTGGTGTCCACCATCTTAGCCAGTTCCCCGCTCTTCCCTGTACCTTGTCTAGTCCCACAAAGACAGACAGGGAGGCAGGAGAGAACAGAGAGTTGAGACTGTGTGGGATTTTAACTGATGACCCTTCTCTTCATTAAAGGGTAATTAGGACAACAAATGGTATTTATTGACCCTGAAAAAATGATACCTATACTTATATTTATCTTTGGCTCCCAGGGTTCAATCATATCAACAGTTTTGACAAGCTGACAGTCTGATGAGGCCCCACAGTGCCCTGTGAGTTCAGCGTTGAAAGCCAGGCAACAGAGACCATTGGCTCATCGGCCGATTGCTGACAGGCTTCAGACAACTTTAACTCGGCAAATACGCTCTTCCCCAGGACCTAAGCTAAGCACTAATGAAAAGAATTCTTCTGTGGGCAAGTTTTCAGGGCCTGAATCCTTGAAGTGCAGTCCCAGCAATGGCAGTGGCATCCCCTGGAAGCAGGTTAAGGATGTACATTCCCAGGCCCCACCTGGACCTGCTAAGTCAGAATATGCACTTTAACAAGAACCCCAGTAAACTCATATGCATCTTAAAGCTCAAGAAGTGCTGGTATAGTGCACCTGGAAGCCAACTGTCTGGAATCCAGAAAGCCAGTAACAGCAGGACATTTCTTTCAGAGTGGCAGAGGAGCGCTCTGAATAATGCTCCTCTAGCCTCTCAAGAGTTCCACCTCTGCCACTCACTCACTCAATGAAGAGAGACTCCTGAAGAATGGGTTGGGATGCACAGAGGGATGGACTGGTGGCCAGAGGTGTGGGGACTTCGCCTGGGCCATGGAAAGCCTCAGTCCTATTTCAAAGGGTTTCAGGCAAGATTAGTACAATGACTTGATATCAACGAGCAAGCCAGGCTAACATCCCCTCATCAGGCAGATGGACTCTTAACCTGGCCGTGCCTGCCTCCTACAGCAGCCTCCTTCATACTGTGACCTCCTTGAGGGCAGCGGGGGGACAGCTGAGGTTTGTGCTGGCAGGCCCCACAGTTGCGTGCCAAGGCCCTTGGTGCCTAGGATTTCCCACGCTCTGGTCTGTTCTCCATATTAGAAAAAAGAACAGGGCTGACAAGCAGCCTCACTTGTGCCAAAAGCAGACCATGCTTTGCAGGTTGGTGGCTCTGCCCAGTCACAGTCTTGGGCACAGGAGGACCCAGAGTCCAGCCTTCCTGCAAGCTGAGATGTTCAGGACACACTCCTACAGTTCCATAACAGCTGTACTTCAGCTGGGGCCCAGCAGCCGAAGGTACATGCAGACCAACCAGGAGCCTTGGGATCTGGCAGAGGGCAGAGCAGACAGGAGCACAATTGCTGGTGGGGTGGGCTTGCTTGGGAGAGCCAGAGCAGGGACAGAAGGGAATGCTGCACCTAGTCCTCTTCTGCAAAAGTCACACTCCCTGGAGTGTGGCCTAAAAGTCAGAAGCGGAACTGCAGCTTTTTTTGTGTTAAATTACACCCTACCCTTTCACCTGCCCAGAGACAGAGTTCCATATGAGTTGAGCAGAGGACAAGCAAGACCAGTGGTTCTGTGGGCTGCCCTTTATTCTCTCCACTAGTGAAAGTGGGATGATGAGCCCTTCTGTATTTGATGGATTTAGAAATCTAAAATTGAAACCAAGCAGCTAATGTTAAAAGATTGCAAAATGCTTTAGGAGCAGTGATCCCTTTAGAATCACCAGGGTCCTGTGAAGAATGCATATTCCTGGCCCTCCCTACACCTTGAAAATCAGAATCTCTGGGGCTGTGGCCAGGATATCTGCATTTTAATCAAACTGCATAGGTAGTTCTTAAGCAAAGTGAAGGGTTAAATGCATATTCCCAGGATATCCACTATTATGTGGAATCAGCCTGCAAGGTGAAGTTCAGGCCTCTAAATTATTAAGCATCCCAGGCAAATATGATGAACAATTAAACTTGAGAACAAATGCTTAAGGGCAGGAATTATACCCATTTCAGACAGGCTAACTCAGGAAAGGACTCAGTCATTGTCCTTATAACCACATAGCCAGTCTCACTTCACTAGAGACCTACACTTATACACACATGCATAGGGCAATAGGGTGTGTTTTAAAATGTACAATTATTATTTTAGGTATGATGAGGCCAGCAGATTGGTTCAATTGCCACTGAAAAGAAAGTTTGCTACTCACAAATTCAGTATGGACTGAATTGTGTCTCCCCCCACCCCACCCCGCCAAATCCATATGTTGAAGCCTGAACCCCCAGTGTGACTGGATTTGAAGAGAGGGCCTATCAGGAGGTAATTAAGGTTAAATGAGGTCAGAGGGTGGGGCCCTGATCCCATAAGATCAGTACCCTTTTAATAAGACCAGAGTGCTTTATATACCTGATCTCTTCCCCTTCCCACCCCATGAAAGGACACAACAAGGACAGGTTGCTGTCTACAAGCCAGGACAACGGCTCTCACCAGAAACTTGAATCAATCAGCACCTTGATCTTGGATTTTTCATCCTTGGAAACTGTGACAAATAAATTTCTGTTTAAGGTCACCAGTCTATATATTGTTATAACAGCCTGAACTAATACAGTTCCCAACGAGAGGGGGCACATCACACCACACAGGGCAGCACCAGGGTTGGTCAGGAGTCAGAGGGAACAAAGAAAAAGTAAGTGTAGGAATCTTTACTGCAGAGTCTGCAGGAAGGAATAGGTAAGGCAGGGTAAGCAAGCTTAGGATCGGCTAGTTTGAATGATGTCAGTGGGCTCTGGGGTTAGGGCCTGTAGGGGTGCAGGGCCTATCCTGAGTTGTCTGGTATCTGGCCCTGGGGTGATCAGGGCAGGAAATGTTGGTCCTGAGTGTGAGAGTCTGGACTGAGAGCTGGGCTCTGGACTGGCTGGTTTGCACATGAAAGGTGCACTTCTGGGTGAGTTACTCACTATCTCAGGAATCAGCTATGGGGAAGGGGCAGTCTCTCCAGGTCAGCAAGGTCTCAAAATGTCAAAGTATCAGAATTACAGAAGATAAAAAGGCAAGATTAGTACAGGATAGAGAAGAAAAGGAGCATGGAAACTAAAGATACTGGAAGAGAGGAAGAACACACTGACAGATGGGTTAGGACCACAGAGAATCCAAGATCCACTGTTGGTCTGGTGGAAGCAGGCAGCTCACTGGCCGTCACTCGGGAGCATGTGTTCTGCCTACCTGCTGTGCGTCTGGGCACTCAGATCCCTTAAGAAAGCTATAGTGCCTTCTCCTCTGGCATTGAAGGACACTGTGCAGACAGGACATGGGATCTCCAAAACTCTCTGAAGGAGAAGCTCCTTGGATTCCTCAGGAACATCCCCCACCACAAAGTAGTAAATGGATTCAATCTGCAAAACAGTAGTAGGAATAGTTTACCTCCCTGACGAGGTGAAGTGGTTGAAAGCAAGGTCAGGCACGTACTGGACACGGTGGCAGTACACTTCCTACAAAATTGCTGTTCAGAGGCAGGGAGAACAGAAAGAATAGCAGCACTGCTCAATGTTTTGTGAGGCCATCTTGGGGTCAAGGTCAGGAAGTGAGATATCCAAGCTCTGGTGCCAAGGTAGGCAGTGGTCTCGGGTACTGCATGGGACGAATATTGTTAGCAGATTGGAAGAATTGCTTCCTCTGATCCCACAAGTACACTATAAAGGTCGGGAGTGGCTGTTCACACAGCCCCCATGGCAGGAAGCTTATTAACCATTTCCAGCGGCCGTGTCCAAATTCTACAGCACAAACTCACCCATCCATAGTCTAAGACCAAATGTGGGAAGGAGGGCATATTCCTGGTTGGTTCATCCTCTGCTCTCATCTCACAGGAAAACGCATGCCTGGGGAGGTGAGGCTGTCCTGACTTCACACAGCAGGTCAGGAGCCAGATCCACCCATGGCCAGGCCAGGCCATGAGAAGAATGGGAGGATGGACAACCCTGTGTCAGAAGCCACACAGGTGTGCATGCACACACCCAGACCTCCAGCCAGGCATCTGGGAGATGCATACCTCACCCAGGCAGGAGACTATCCCAAAGCACTTCCTGCCTCACTGAGAGCCGTAAAACCCACCCCAGGGGGCCCTGTAGCTGCAGCCCCACCCCAGCCTCAGCCACACTGCTGCTCTTCCCTGGGATTTTGTCGGCCACATTGTTGTCTCCCCCGCCACTAGCGAGTTCTATAGCCTTGTGTCTTACCACTGGGTTTCAGCCCCAGGCAAGTTCACTATGGATTCAGTATGACCAAAGAAATTGACAGCAAAACGTTCTTGGGTGAAAGGGTTATACCCAACTTTATGTCCAGGTGGCAGGTCAGTCACTAAACTCCTGTTCACTCAGAGTGAGTCTGCACGCAGCAAGCCAGTCTCTGTTTCTGTCTCTGGGCCTCTCTGCCTGCACAGTCATCCCGCACAGCCATCCTCTGGGCCCCTCTGTCCGCACAGCCGTCCCACACAGCCTTCCTCTGGGCCTCTGTCCTTGGTGCTGACACCACTCCAGTCTCTGCTCTCTTGCAGCCTTGCAACCCCGCCACTGTGTCCCATGCAAGCACTGGCAGAGCTCTTTATATAGAGTCAACAGTGATGTATTGCTCACGGGTGTGCAGTGAGCTAGTCAACCAGGGCCAGGTGAGAATCCTGGCCACAGGAACTCTCATTTTATCCACACCTCATACAAGTGATTCAGCTTCAGTGTCTTCACTTGTGAAAAGGGAGACAATGCAGTTGACCTCATGACTGAGCTTAAACAAGATGGCTTAAAATTATGTGTGTATATAATTCACAGAAAGCAAAAACCAGGAAGAGCAAGAAATATATATCATCTAACTCAGCCCCTAAAAATAAACTGATTGTCTCCACAGATAACTGGGGAGGAAGCCCCAGAAAATGAGTGTAGTAAGGGATAAATAAACATCCATCGCTTTAGGATTTACAAGCCTTTCTCTGCACTAATCATAAACTCCTGTCAGCTGAAGGTAAACAGTTAGTTGCCTCACCTCAGCTTCAAACCTGGGACTTAAGCCCACCTGACATGGAAAGGTAGCGGTAAGGCTGGCTCCCAACTGGTTAAGACGACCTCTCTCTGGCAGCTGGGGAAGACCTTGCCCAAGGAGGTAGGGGGTGGGGTCAGGGGTCTGGGGTTCCAGGCTGGGGCTTAGGAGGCCAGAGTGGGAGTCGACAGCAGCCTACTTCAGCAACAACCTTCCTCCATCTCAGCACAAAAACAACCCCATCCCTCCCCCGCTCCCCATGACTCTCTATCTCAGACCTTTCAACACCAGCTCCCTGATTTTAAAAAGTACCTAATGGGAGGTAAAGACTAAGGAATACTGTAACTTTCTTGCAGTCAATCACCCGAGAGGCTGTGTGGGCAAGTTGGGGTTCCCATGGCCAGGATCCTCACTGAATTAAACCACCTGATGATGTAACTGGCCTGTTGCTAGGCTACCACTTCCACACCTTTAGGGAATAAGCTATTATTGTGCTATATAGAGAGCTCGACCCAGTGCTCTGGGGGGAGGCAGAGACGCTAGTGCTCAACCTACTAGGAGGACAAGCGGAGTAATAAACCCTTTCACCCCAAAGAACATTTTGCTGTCAATTTCTTTTGGTCACATTGAATCCATAGAGAATTTGCCCAGGGTTGAAACCCATTGGCAAGACAGGCAGGACAAACACTGCAAGAAGGAGCAATGTTCTCCAGGTTCCTTATTAGGCAACTAAGATTATTCTCCCAGCAAATGCATCCTATTTCATTCCCCCGTCTGGTGTCATGCGTTACCTCATGCAGGATGTATAATGAGGCTCTCATGTAGCTGCACTATTGGTAGTGTTAGTGTCGGTGCCCAAGTTCAGCATGGGGACAGGGGGCATCTTCTCATAAGGATCTACAATCACACATGGCCTAAGGTAGGGGAACAGACATGGGCACACAGTGGGGACTTCCTAGGGTTTGTTAGGTGAACAGGGGGGTGAGCAAGGACAAGCATCTCCAGGTAGTCTGTGCTTCTGACACCCTGCACCTCCACTGCACATCATGCAAACTCAGCCTCTTTGTGGCGCCAGCAGCCCAAAAGTCTGAAATACTTGTGCAGAAATGTTTTTCCCTCAAGATTTCATCAAACTAAAAAGTAAGTCAGGATTTCCTTTCCTTTACTAAGACTATAAGGTTATTCATTATTCATTAAGTTCATTACTCAGCTTCTTAATTACCTATGTTTTCAGTTGACTTAGTTACTTGTGCCACAGATTTCCTGGGACATGCTTTACACCGAGACCACTTGTCCCACCCCCATTCTCTTCCTGCACACTGTCTTTCTGCCTCTCCTTTCTGCTCACATAATGACATTGAGAAAACCAGACAGGAAGATAAATAGGCTTCTATCCCTATCCCCCCAAAATTAGCAAAATGCCTTTTAAAAGTGAAGTGACTGTGGGGATACCTGCTATTTAGGATGACAAGCTAACATGAATTATTTTATTCAGTGTTCATAGCAGACTTGTGGACTATGAATGCTCGTCATCACACTCAGTTTACAGATGGAGAAACTGAGGCCGGGACAGGTCACTGACCTGGCCTTGTGGCCTGTAAACCCAGGCTGCCTGACCTTGCTTTCAACCACTTCACCTTGTTGGCTTATCATGGTAGGGCCAGTCACCTGTTAGGGATGAACGTGAATCCCAAAACTGTGACAGCAAGAGCATGGGACAAGAGTGGCCAGAGACAACACTGCTTTTACTTCCTCACCTCCCACTCCCTGATCACTGACCAAAAGTTGGGTCCAGGAGGTTGTATGGCTCATGAGCAACCGTCCTCATAGGAATCCTCTCCCCTTAACCAGAACCTCTGAGCTCCTTGAGGGCAAGGGCAGTGATGAGGGTCAGTAGTAGCCAGTACCAGAAGCATTTTCCTCACTGACAAGCATTTCTGAAATCCTGATTTGCACAGAATATGATAACACAAGACATGGAAAATACTCCATTCAACTGTTTTACTGTGAATCAAAAATGCTTGCCACTTTATACTACATAAAATAGGGGGAAGCCCTTCTGTTTGCATTTGAAATGTTTCTTCTGTCTGGCCCATGTGTTCTGCAGCTTCCCATGGCAACCTTAATTCTGCCCAGCCAAGGAGGTCTGGACACCTTCCATGCTTGGAGGACAAGAAGAGTCAGTCTGGAGGAGGCTGCTTCTGCTCTGATTGCCCCCTGCTCTAGTCTTTCAGAAGGCCTCTGGGTATAAAAATGTCCTCTCTGCAAGGAAGACAAATGGAAGTCAACCAGAACAGCAGTGAGTGGTCTAGTAAAATTCTGCCTTCTTCATGTAACTTCGGCCATTGCAACAGTTTTGACCAACTCCAGAGCTTGGATTTAACTTCCAGATCTTCGCTGTCCCTGTGGCAGCCCTCTCCCGGTACAGCCAGTTTTGATTTTCTGATTCCCCTCATGGTAGTGACTGCTCACTTCTCAGATTCCTCCTGACACCCTTGACCACCAACTTTTTTACTTCCAGGCTTCCCACAAACCTGTCCTCAGCCACTGTGCCCACCTGAGTCACATAAGGCTCAGCAAATTCACCTGCCTGGTCCTACACAAATCACCTCCCTTCAATTAAAAAAACTCCAATCTGTACCGTAGCTTGGTGATGGGAATCTCTTGGACTCCTGTCTAGCCCCCAGTCTCAAGAATATCAACATTATTTCCTTTTCATCCTCCAATGTCAACAAACATTTGTCGAGCCCTTACTAGGCACTGCCATTGCTAGGGACACAAAGGTGAAAAGGTTTGATGCCTGCCTGAACCACTGTCAACAAGTAACTGAAATGCCAGGTTGACTGTGACCGGTCCTTCAGCTCACTGCCCAGTGGTAAAGGCTCCTTATGGAATTGTGTGAGTCTGTCTATTTCACCCACTTAGTCTTCTGGTGAATATGATCTTTTTTAAAAAAAGTAAACAAATTTTTGCCTATCAGGTAGATGGAAGAGAGGCTGATAGAACACAAAGAGAAATGTAGGTGCCTTTTGGGCAGGTGGCCTTCTGCTAAAAGGTGAGGCAATGCCCCTCAGCCTTCCTGGGGGGCTTTAGGTATTCAGCCTTCTCCTTCCTGAAGACCCCTCACATCCTGGACCAGCAGGCCTTCCAGGACCTCCTGGCACAACATCCCTCTTCATAAAGGCCTGGGAAGTCGCCTGTCCGAAAGATGTGCCCTGGGGCCAAAGGACACTGAAGAGAAGAAGCCCTGTCATGGGCTCTGAGGATGATGCCAGCCCCCCTAAACTGCCAAACATTTCCTCAGTACCCCCAAGGCTGCTCTTCCCACAAACCAGGCTCTTTTGCACAGAAGGCACAAGTAATTCATCCACCAATAGTGCTCTCCGCGTGCTACCATTAGAGCCAGGATTTAGATGCTCGTGTGACAGACCTGCACACTCTGCCTGGCTCCTCTGGATTCAAAGCCTCCTCCTCAGCCATCCCTCTCTGTTCGATATTCCCAGCTGACCTGTTCCAGAGGAGGCCAGCAGCCTCTGAGCATCGTCCTCCACAGTAAACCAAGCATACCTGTCAGCCCTTTCTACTCATGCAGCCCTGATACAAAAACCCAACAACCACGTTAATCTTTGGACACAAGAGAATACCAACTTTCTTGGTTCCTCTCAGGATTCACTCATAGGAGATGCTAACCCAAAGCATGCGCGTGCGCGCGCGCGCGCGCACACACACACACACACACACACACTCCAGAACCTGTGAAATGTTCCATTTCTTGAATGCTTATTATGGTGTCCAGATGCTTGAAATTTTACAGATGTTAAAGCAAACTTGAAAGGCCAAAGAACAAAACAGCCTTTATTTTATTCTTTAATGCAGAACATTTGTTCCTCTGGCTTTGTGAGGACAATGTGTTTCCAACTTCAAAGCACCATCTTCAATATCAATAAAGAGTCTGGTGACCACTGGGGGCTGTCCTTTCCAGGTGCCAGCACATGGTCTCTTTAGTCAAGAAAGGCTGTCTTAATGCAACCAAGTAAAGCTTGAAATCTACAGAATGCATGGAGTCCAAGCAGAGAAGCAATCAGCTATTAAGTAATGTTAATTGATTAGTAAGTATTAAATAGGCACCCATATCCCAAAGGAAAGCAGACCTGCCCCCATCTAGGGAGATGAGGCTGGCCCAAGGATCCCACCTTCCCGAGTACTTCTCTACTGCTTTGCCACTGCCCTTAAAGTTCCATCATTAGTTCACTCACAAAAACACACCCTTCCAGCTAAAAGAACATAAAACACAACCACTTCAACCCCTCTTCCAAAGCCTAATTTCCAAGAAGTCCCTATAGAAAAGCATATGTGAATACATAACACTAGGAAATGGATGACTCATCAGTGTGGATATACTGTATCTTGGAAAGCACATGATAGACCTGTTTTTGAAGAAGAGAAACTGGGAAGGATTCAGAACACGAATGGGGGAGAAATCCTACTTCCTCATCCTCAGGGTTCTATGAAAAGTCTTCTGACCTCTCCTCCCCATCTCAGATGGACTGATTCATCTCATCAGGAGAATGCACAGCCCTGCCTAACTCCCTATCCCTTCTCGAAGCCCAGTGGCCATGAGCAGCATGTGGCTCTCCCAGCACTGGCAAAATGAAGGTCAGTCACCTCACAGGAGGAGCCCAGCCAGGCTCAGGGAGCAGAGGCTTGGGAATCTCCCTGCGGTCCAGCTCAGCCATCACTGAAGCTATTTCGGTCCCCATCTGGAACTGTCACTATTTCTCAATTATTTCCAAATTCAGAGGTGAATGGGATTAAAACTTCTGGGCTCTTCAATGCCAACGATGGGGTCTTGGTGGGATGCTGCTGGGAGGGGACCAAGATCAGCTGAAGGACAGTAGGAGGGTACTGAGTAGGAAGAAGCCTGAAGCCACCTCTGTGACCTGGGGCCAGCCATGGATGCACACTCACAGTTTTGTCTTTCCCAGCTTCCAGCAAAGCGTCCAGGCGGCCAGCCTGGCTCATGGCCAACTTGAAAGTCAGTTTCCCAACCCAGCTGATGGCAGCAGCTATGGACTCTTCCGTCACAGGAGCAGCATCCTCCTGCCATTTCACAGGCTCTTGAGAAACCCTGGGAGGAATGACATGGGGCTGTCACTGGGCAGTGGGCTCACAGCCATCAGCCCTCAGACCTACAGCTCTGAGCAGCAAGCCACTTAACATCACCAGATCTAACAGAAAAAGACTCAGCTCTCCACCCTCTGAAAGCTACCAATAAAACAGGCAAGCTGTTGAAGACAGGTTTCCAAATCACCATTACCTTTCTCAAGCCATCTGACTAGGAAAAACAGTTTACAGGAGAATAAAGCGACCTCAGAAATGTAAACACTAATGTGCATTAAAACCATTAGGGAAGTTATTTTCATGAACAGGCAGGTTTATATGTAACTGTCTTCCACTAATGGTAAATGTATAAGGATTCATAGCATAAGATTTGCAAATCAGCAACAATCACGTTACTCTAAAATTTTATTTCTAAATTCTTTTGTGGACATTGTTCGGAAAGATTTCCATCAGTTACCATTTTTGGATGAAAAATAGTATTGTTTTGAGTTCAGCAGAGCATTTGTTTTTAAATCCTGGGAAATTTTGATTAAACAATTTAGTTTGGGCTTAGAAATGACTGATGGAATCCCTCAAGAAAGAAGAGCCATTTGAATTTATTTAGCTGTGTGTTTATAATTGAACAAATTATATAAATCATATCTGAATTCAAAATTTGAAGAATTATGTGAATCATTACTAAATGAATCAGCCTGATTTGTCCCACATAGCCCATCTCCACAGAGAGAGGCTTTCTCACACTGCGTCACCTCTGTGTGGCTCCCCTGGGTAGAGAATCTGGTTGAGTAGCATGTACGCAACAGCATACATTTCTAAGAAAGCTAAAGCATTGAAGATTTAAGGGCTTAATTCCTTCAATAATATATCTATGTCAGCAATAGGAACCTGGGACAGAACACAGTCAGGCAGCACACCCAAAGATGTCATCTGTTTGGATAAAAAAATTCCATTGTTCATGAAACAAGAAAAACTCAGTTAGGTAGATGCCACCCTCATCCAGATGTTTCCTATCAAGGAGCAGCAGCCACTATTCCACATGAGAAATTGGCCCTGGAATCCAAATTCTCTTGAATCCAAGAATCCATAAATAATACATTGTTAAAACTCTAAAATATTGGAAATTCTCTAAAGCCAGCCACCTGTTGTTCTGATTAAGGAGCTCAACTTACAGGGGAGATCAAGTTGAGTTACAAGCACAGTCTGAGAAACAGTGGAATTTGTGGAAAGTTTGAATTCATTATTCAAATTAAAATCTAAAATGACTGCAGGGATTTCTATGACCTTACACATATATTCAAAAAAACACAAACTCATATATTTCAACCATGCCACCATGCATTGAAGAAAAGCATGCTTTTAAATCTCTTCTAATTTGAAAACTAGGATGCCACTTATGTGCAAAGCAGGTAAAAGTTTTCTAAGATTTATTCCTTGTGGGTTTTTTGCTGGAATGACATATTCAAGGAAATTACAAGATAATACCTCCTCCCTCCCCATAGAGCTAACTATGTTAGTCATGCTACTTAATGCCAAATAAATGAAAATTATTTGGGAAGTTTCACTGAAATATCCCCATCCTGTGGGAACTCACCATATGATATTGAACTTGGTTATGTGAGCCACCTGCTCCTGGAGGACCATGGTGAGAGCACTGTGGCACAGATGAAGCTCCTCTGCCAGCATGCCGCCAAAATCCAGCACTATGGTGATGCATTGCTCCAAGACAACACCAAAAATCTGCCGGCTCTTGCTGGTGAGCCAGTCCATCCGCCGCTTGTAGCTCTCCACAGCTTGTGTTAAATGTTCCACAAATTCATGGATCAATTCTGATTTAGCTGTTAACTTAATGGAAATAAGAGTAAAAAACCAAAAAGATAAAATTAAGTAAAAACAAACCAAAAAAAGTCATCTGAACCACAGTGCAGCCAGGAACAATATGGCCCACTGAGTCATGGCCTTGGCCATCAAAAACTATTAATAACAATTTTGTAGAGAATCCAGGAGTTGTTGCAAAAGTGGTGCGAACTTTCGACTGAAAAACCTTTGGATGATTCCCCAGAAAAGAAGATCGTCTGATGCATTTAAAACACAGCACTCTTTTCAAAAAATATGTTTCTAGAATATGTTTGATTTTTACAGTTATAAAATTATCTTTTTCAGAAAATTTCCAGGGGAACTTTGAGGAAATTAGGTAAAAGAAAAGAAATCAGCAAAGACAAATGGAAAAAAAATAAGTCTCACTCAAAAATTTTCCTAAGTACAACATGCCAAAATTATTTCAAAAATGCTTCTAAACATGCCTGACTTTTCTGCTAAGGGATGCTGACCGCTGACCCATCTTCCTGCTCATCACCTTCGTCCTGTGTCCTCTGTCTCTCAGGCCAAGCTGGCCTGTAACCTAGATCACCTGATCACCCACAGCTGCCACCAACACATTTAGGTGCTGTCTTGTGGCAGAGACTTGTGGGCAATTTCTTGTATACATATAAACCATCATTCACATAGATCACGCAGAACTGTGCAAGGCCTTTGGGGATGTAGGAGGGGAGGAGGAGACATAGAAAGGAGTAAGAAAACTTTGTGTCCTATCCTGTGAAGATGCCCAAATACCTGGAATGTTAAGGAAAATGTGTTTTCTGAACACACCATGAAATTCCACATTTCCATGCCTTCGCTAGTACCATCCCTCTGGCTTAAATTCCTTACCCCTGTGTCTCTCCAGTTTATTCCTCAAGCTCCAGCACCACTTCCTGTTGCTTTCTAGGCTCCCTCAGGCAGAATTCCTGTCTATTTGACAGCATTCACAGCACTTCCTACAAGTCTCCACCCCAGCACAGAAACCGGGGTGGGACTGTGCCCCAGGGGCAGTGGAGGTGGAGGTAGATGGCAAAGACAGATGTCTCCAATAGTTCTGTATCAATTTCCATATGGTTCAGATACAAAATATATTTAGCACACCAAACTCTAGATTCTATGGGTATTATTGCTTAAGAGAAGGCTCAGTTTAAAAAATAATGTAAATGTTTTAAAAAATTAAGAAGTAACAGTCTAGGTGCTGCATGGGCATACACTGGCATGAACAAATATCCCTAAAGTGATGTGATGGGACATGTGTCTTGGTGAGCTCCCGTGGTGGGCCAGGGTGTACACAGGTGTGCATGTTTTGGGGCACGCGAGCCATACTAAAGTGCTGGGAATGAAGGGCTCCCGTGAAAGGCACTGCTTGCCCCCTGCCCACTGCTACCTACAAAAGGAGCCCTCTCTTCCTAGGGCTCCTGGCAGGTAACAGCACTGTGCTCTTTTCAGCTAACCTCTGTCATACTGCTTTTTCCCTTTGTTTCAGTGCAAAACGAAGTGTTGCTATGCAAATAATTGCACCTTTGGTCAAGAGCTTCATGCTCTCATCTCTAACAGGTCAAACACATCCTTCCCCAGCTCCTTAGCTGTGGTTTTTATTGCTGTCCACGCAGCCAGAAGAAAATCTCCCACCCTGAAAAGGCTCAGCACCACTGTATTAATGCAAAGCAGAGTGGGCTCTCCACATAGGCCACCCTAAGATCTTAGCAGTGCATCACAAGGCCCCCCAATACAGAGAGCAGAGAACTTGGACTTACATTGTATACTCTGCCATCTTCTGCTCTGTAGAACCGTGGAAATAGGCCATCAGCGTACCGGGAAGCCACAAATCTCCCCAGAGAAGTCACATAATCTGCATTTTTTATAAAGAAAAGCAATCAAAATGATGCCCTACAGCACTTATTTTTGTTTCAAAATGTTGTTGTCTGACATGGTTCAAATCATATTCCCAGTGACCCAACAGTCTGTGATGCTTTGTACTCTGTTCTGAATAATGAAGTATTTCTAGGGGCTACGATAAATGTAACTGTCTATGACATGCATAATCCTTTAAGACACGAATGAATAGGGGAAAGAACAGGGTCTGTTTCTTGGTTTCCTGGTTCTTCTGTCCAGAATGATTAAAGCAGAAGTCAAGAAGACAACATAGAAATTCTGTTTAATTCCCAAAAACTTTTAATCAGAACTTGGACTTGATTTTCAGAATTTTAAAAATTAAAATTTGATACTATCTATTGCTCTCTCAGTGGGATTCATGAATACATGAATGAAATGAAGCAAGCAGGTCACAGACTCAGATTATTCATACAGTAAGTCAAAGCCACAAGATTTTCTTCTCAGATTGTAAGCTCAGCTGTTCAACATCCATTGAGCATGCGTGTGTTAGGCACAGTTACAGAATGGGAATACACTGCTGCCCAGAACATTTCTACTCTTGGAACCAATGGAAGGCTACAGAAAGGCTTCACGGACTAACCATGACTTGGCAGGACAGAACATGAGGTAAAGCTTCACAGAGATGTCTTCATTGTGATAATTACTTTATTGTCACGAAGACATTATTATTAAGTACTAAAGGCAGGAGTGCAAATAGCAGTACTCCTGGTCCAGTACCTCCTTTCCTATTCCTTTCTAGGGAGGCAGGATAACAGCCTACTCCGAAAAGGCAGAAAGAGCAACGCTGAAATGTATAGACTTCCTAGACAGGCTTGGTCCCAAACCACCAGGAATAATAAAGTTTGCAAGTCTTTAAGTTCAATTTCCATAGCAGTAAGGAGTAAAAAATGGATACTTGAATTCCATCAGCAAAGATCTCACTCAATAAACCTCCCAAACTCCAAAAAAATCTAGTTAAGATTTCAACTTCTTAACTACACAGATAGAGCAACTTCAAATCACCAGCAGCATTCTCTCTTTACCTAAGATCTTTATCTAGAGTGAGGAGAGCTCTGTTTCTTGACGATTGAAAGAGATAAATCTCTGGGAGGCTTTATAAGCTGTACTCCCAATTAAAATGTAAGGCATTGTGAGTTCTGCATCCAATAATGGTGGAGTAGATTTTATTGGCTAACCCTCACACATAAAAAATTATAAACTCTGGACAAAATATAAAGATAGCTACTTGAAGACACTGGAGTGCAATCAAGAGCAGGCAGAAACTGGAGTGGCATTAATCTTTGAAAGAAGAAAATTGAATGGTGAGATTTGCATTTACTTAGCAGGGGAGGCCGAGTTTGATGTTTGAGTCCAGCCAAGTTAACTGCCTGCCAGAATAAGCAAGCATCAGCTGTTCTAATGGATAAAACAACTGTGGTATATCCATAAAGTTCATCTCCTTATATTCTTTAGACATAAAAAGGGAATAAAATACTGGTACATACTACAACATGGATGAACCTTAAAAACATTAAGTAAAATAAGTCAGTGACAAGAAACCACATATTATATGATTCCATTTATGTGAAATACCCAGAACAGCAAATCTAGAGAAACAGAAAGTAGATTGCTTTGGGCTGAGGGTTGGGGGGCAGGATGGATAGCTAAGGAGTACAGGGTTTCTTTTGAGGTGATGAAAATGTTCTAAACTTAACTGTGGTGATGGCTGCATGTTTCTGTGAATATACTAAAAAGTGTTGAATTGTACACTTTTTATTGAAATATAGTTGATGTACAATATTATATTGGTTGCAGATGCACAACATAGCAATTTGACAATTATACACATTACTTAATGCTTACCACAATAAGTGTAGCTACCATTTGCCTCCATATCAAGATATTACAGTATTATTGACTATGTTCCCTATGCTGTACTTCTATCACTGTCACCAATTTATTTTATAATTGGAAGTTTGTACCACTTTATCCCCTTACCTATTTCATCCAACCCCTCACACCTCCCTCCCTTATGGTAACCAATAGTCCATTGTCTGTTATGGGTCTATTTCTGTTTGTTTTTCAGATTCCACATGTAAGGAAAATCATATGGTATTTATCATTGTGTATGACTTATTTCACTTAGTATAATCCCCTCTAGATCTACCTACATTGTCATAAATGGCAAAATTTCATTCTTTCTTATGGCTGAGTAATAGTCTATTATATATATGTACCACATCTTTATTCATTTATCAATAGATATTTAGGTTGCCTCTATTTCTTGACTATTATAAACAATGTTATGATAAACAGAGGTGCATATATCTTTTCAAATTCGTGATTTTGTGTTTTTTTTCCTGGTGAATTCCCAGAAGCAGAATTACTGAGTCATATGGTTTCTCTATTTAGTTTTTTGAGAAACTTCCATACTGCTTTCTATAGTGGCTGTGTCAATTTACATTCTCACCAACAGTGTTATGAAGGTTCCCTCTTCTCTATATTCACTCCAACATTAGTTATTTCTTGTACTTCTTTTGGTATAAACCGTTCTTACTGATGGGACATGATATCTCACTGAAGTTTTGATTTACATTTTCCCAATGATCTTGATATTGAGTGATATTGAACATCTTTTCATGTATCTGTTGGCCATCTGTATGTTTTCTTTGGAAAATGTCTATTCATGTCCTCTGCCCTTTTTTAAATTGGATTATTAGGGGTTTTTCTGATATTGAGTTTGAATGAGTTCTTTATACACTTTGGGTGTTAGCCCTTTATCCAATATATCATTTGCAAATACATTTTCCCATTGAATTGTATACTTTAAATAAATGAATGGTATAGTATGTGAATTACATGTCAATAAAGCTGTTATTTTTTAAAAAGTAGATATGAGAATCTAGCTGTTTTCTATTGAGACAGACATAAAGGAGATTTACAAAAATGTAAAACTTCCATCGCTAAAACAAATTTCCTTCAAGATGTTGTTACCATATAATAAATTTGTTACTTTTAAATGAATAGTAAATATTTTTTAAAGTTTTTAGTTCTAACTTCCAATATGGTAAATATCAATAGATATAAAATGCATAAATGCTTCTAAGCATAAGAGATTTTATATAAAGAGTGTATGATATGAAAGCACATAAAGGAGATGAACTGAAAGAAAGATCACAGTAAAAACATTTACATACTAGCTGTAGATAATTAATTCTAGTGGCAATGGTTTTCTCATCAGAAATCATGGACACCACAAGGAAGTGGCAAAATATTTTTTTAATGCTGAAAGGAGAGATTTCAACCCCAAATCTTATATCTGGTGAAATTATTCTTCAGGAATTAAGGAGAAATAAAGACATTCTTGGACAAAGAAACTAAAAGCTACTCTTAAAGAACAGCTTTTAAAAAAGCAGGGCTACTCTTAAAGAATGAGTAAAATAAGTTCCACAAACACAAAGAAAATTATAAAATAAGGACCCTTGAAATATCAGGAAGAATGTAGTAAACATAAATATGGGGAAATACAATAGACTTTCTCAAGTTTTTTAAGTTACGCTTGAGGGTGGGTTGAATCAAAAATTATAGCAAAGTCTAATGTGATTTTCAATGTATGAAAAGAAAGTAAATGTTATAAGGCGAGTAAAAGAACATAAAGGGAAATAAAGTTTCTACTCTTCATCAAACTGGTAAAATGTTGACACATTTACAATGGGATACCTAGTACAACTACTAAAAATGCTGTATTATAAGGTGTACTAAAAAATACTACAGATAATAAACAATTCTAAAGAATGTTTAAGTAACCCAAAGTAGGCAGAAAAAAGAGAATAAATGAAAAACAGAAAATGAAATATTACAGATAAGCCCTAATATATCAATAATTGTATTAATTGTATTAAATGTAAATGGTCTGAACACAATTAAAAAAATAGATTTGCAAAGAGGATTTAAAAAATGACCCAACAATAGAGTGCCTACAACAAACTTGCTTCAAATATAATGATATATATATATATATGTTAAAAATAAAAAGACAAAAGATAAACCATGTAAGTATTAATAAGAAGAAAGCAGGACCAACTATATTAATTGCTGTATTATAAGGTGTACTAAAAAATACTACAGATAATAAACAATTCTAAAGAATGTTTAAGTAACCCAAAGTAGGCAGAAAAAAGAGAATAAATGAAAAACCGAAAATGAAATAGTACAGATAAGCCCTAATATATCAATAATTGTATTAATTGTATTAAATGTAAATGGTCTGAACACAATTAAAAAAATAGATTTGCAAAGAGGATTTAAAAAATGACCCAACAATAGAGTGCCTACAACAAATTTGCTTCAAATATAATGATATATATATATATATGTTAAAAATAAAAAGACAAAAGATAAACCATGTAAGTATTAATAAGAAGAAAGCAGGACCAACTATATTAATATCAAAAAAGAAAACCACAGAGTAAAGAATATTACTAGGGACAGAAAAGGATATTATGTAATTATTAAAGTGTCAATTCACCAGGAAGACATATGATCCTACCTAAGTGTATATGCACCAAACAACAGAGCTGCAAATATGTTAAGCAGAAACTGATAGAACTGAATGGAGGAATAGTAAATCCACAGTTACAGGTGGAGATTTCAATACTACTCTCTCAACAATTGATAGCATACCTAGATAGAAAATCAGCAAAGATACTCAACACCATCAACAAAAAGGATCTAAATGACATTTATAGAAAACTCTACACAACAGAATACACATTTTTTCAAGTACCCACAGAATATATGTCAAGACAAACCATATCCATTCCTATAAAATAAATCTTAAAAAATTTAAAAACTAAAACCAAATAGACTATGTTCTCTGCCCATGATGGAAACAAACTAGAAATCAGTAACAAAAAGACAGCAAGAAAATCTCCAAACTCTTGGAAACTACATAACATGATTCTAAAAAAAAAAAAA